TCTGGATTCTCTTCATCAGTGTCACCAGGCTTCTCTTCACCTGGCTTTTCTGGATTCTCTTCATCGGTGTCACCAGGTTCGTCTGGATTCCCCTCATCAGTGTCACCAGGCTTCTCCTCACCAGGTTCATCTGGATTCTCCTCGTCAGTGTCACTAGGCGGCTCTGGTGCTGGCAGTCCTGCTCCTGGAACCGTTGGCTTTACGTTCTCATCCTTATCTAAGCATTTTTCAATGCAGCCTTTTATTTCTGGGTACAATGTTTCCACTATATCCCAAAAGCCATGTTTAATTTTATCTGTGTCGACTGAAATTACGTTGCTCTTAGAGGATGAGCTCATTTTGCAAATAATCGGAGATGGCTGCTGATGCTCTGCTTAGTTCTTTTTCTGCTTTTTATACTCAAATGTAAATAAGTACATCTCAACACGTGTTTCATATATTTGCATTATTTTTTTAAAGCTTGGCTATTTCATTTCATCACGAGAATTTGTGATCACCTATACATTCTGATCATTGGCTTTATGGTGCAGAGAGATTGATATCAAGGACTGTAAATATCTGATGTATGCTGGATTTGCATCGAATTAGAAAATATTGTAAGTTTTACAAATGTGAGGCTTTCCTGAGCACCCATTCGTGTAAAAAGCGTGCCAAGTTAGATGCAGAGCATAGAGAAGAAAGTGCCAACAATAACATGGAAATGTTTATTTTAAAGTTGAAGTCTAATTAACGAGACCATCAAGTCTAACTCACCTTTGGACAAAGAAGTATAGAGTTTTAAACCGTGTCATTCACCTTGTAATATGGGCCAATGCTGAATGAATTCCTGCTGTCCTAGTTCTCCAAGACGAATCGTCATAACTTCCATAGAAAGCACTGACTGGCTGCCTGACTGATTGACGGACTCACTGCTGTGGTGCCAATCCTCTTGATCACCCCATTCGTAGCGAGGCACCACTAAATAGTGCATCCAACTCCGAATTGATCAATGTGGGGGAATGCAATTTGTGGCAGTAAGAATATGCACACTCGTGAATGGATTTATTTCCACTACAGCAGGGTAATGAGGAGTCGATTAGGATGAATATCGCTACGATGATATT